GGTTACAATGTATTTTGTTGATTTCTTGGAGTTTTGATTTCATAACACATCAGTGCAGCTCCAGGAATTTGCTGGACACGCCCACTTTGGCAAGAAGTGCCGCTGTCGTCCATACCATGCCAAATATCTCAGGTTTCCGATGTTGAAATATTTTCGGCCGTGCGTTTTGCGATTTTGTTGTTCCGCCATCTTCCAGATGAGGTGACCGCCATGTAACGGGTTCCTTTTAAATAAGACTTAAAGTGGACCGGTCACCAATGACCGCCCTGGAAGCAGGCGTTTGGATACAGGAAGCCAAGAGTGGCCTATCATTTTAAAAGGGATCGGTGATGTCACTGAGAAAGGAGGCGGTAATGTCACCGAGAAAGGAGGCGGTGATGTCACTGAGAAAGGAGGCGGTGATGTCACTGAGAAAGGAGGCGGTGATGTCACTGGGAAAGGAGGCGGTGATGTCACTGAGAAAGGAGGCGGTGCTAATTGGGTTTTTAATGATGGTGGTTGCACTTAAAGTGGATCTGTCTGCCATTTTTAAATGTCAAAGAAATGAATTGTCTATACAACAGCAGAAGAAACCATGAATTATATTCATCAGCCAGAACAAGACCCACTCTGAAAATGGCTTCACTTTAGCAGGGGTCTGGCTTTAGGACTAAGCGCCGCCCATGTGCCATATTAATGGCCAATGAGGCTGGAAGTAGGGATAGGGGTAAAGTTGACCGGGCTTATCCCTGAAGTGTAAAAAAAAAAAAACAAGTCTGGCCCACAGTAACAAAGTGGAACCAGTTCAGAGGGACACACTGAGTTCTTTATGTAGCCAATATAGTGGACACCCAGTGCTGGAGTCAGGGAGTCTGTCCTCTAGTAGGAGAGTGAAACCAGTTCAGAGGGGCACACAAAGTTATCTAGCAAATAAAATGGCGGACACCTAGGGAAGCCTGCCCTGCTGGAGTCAGGGAGTCTGTCCGCTAGTATCAAAGTGAAACCAGTTCAGAGGGGCACACGGAGTTATCTAGCAAATAAAATGGCGGACACCTAGGGAAGCCTGCCCTGCTGCTTTAAGGGAGTCTGTCCTCTAGTATCAAAGTGAAACCAGTTCAGAGGGGCACATGGAGTTATCTAGCCAATGAAATGGCGCACACCTAGGGAAGCCTGCCCTGCTGGAGTCAGGGAGTCTGTCCACTGGTGACAGAGTGAAACCAGTTCAGAGGGGCACACAGAGTAGGGTAATGGTGGACACCCTGTGGTGCCTACCCTTAGGCCGGTCTTTAAACTTTTAAAATGGCTGACAGGTTCACTTTAGAGGCCAACTACGCACCAGAATCGATACTTAGGTTTTGTATGGTTGGCGGCAAGTGGAATCAAGTGAATTTTTTTCTCTCGGGGATACCATTGGCGGGATTCTCAGTTGTGGCCCGCCTTCTTTTTGGAAGGGTGTCATGGCCCCTCCCCCACGTATATTATGTATAGTGTAAAATAAAAAGAAACAGTCCATCTGCATGGTGATGACATAATCCACTGCAGGGAAATCTTGGCGCTGGCGTCTCCGGGAGACGTCGGCCTAAATTTTTGCGCGAAGGCGACATTGCCGTCCTCAAAAAAAATCCATCGTTGAATTCACTCGTTTTTCCCGCACGGATCTCCCTTCGGAAATGCGCGTTTGATGATTTGCACTTATCTGGAGGATTGTATAGCGTCACGCCGCTCGCGGCCCGTTCCGTTCTCCTGCCTTAAATGTTACTTTTTACATGTGGTCATATCGTCCCCGTGACACATTGTATGTATGAGGAGGTGCGATGATGCTCGTTTTATATATGTAAAGCTATGAAAGAGATTTATATTTAATAATTAAATCGTAAGAAAAGACGACTGAAGATTTCTTATTTGTTTGAGTGAAAATGTTTTATTCTTCCCTTGTTATATATACGTTATGTATACGTTTATATGGCCATATAAAGTCAATGATGTCACAGCATCCCTCCCCTTTGCTTACAGGAGAACTATGAGGGGGGGGGGGGGGG